ATAATTATCATTGAATAGTTTTGCATAGTAGTAGTTGTTAACCTTACCATATAAATGGTTTTCAATAGTCTCTACTAGCTTGTGTTCCTCTTTTTTGGACAATGCATTGAGTATATCTTTCCATTTTGCTTCAGGATAGTTGATCAACCATTTAGAAAAAAGGCCTATTTTTCCTTGAATTATTGTGGAAGTGTCAAATTCTTCAATTGTTGTGATATCTTGCTGTGTTACTCCAGGTAAAAGGAGACCAAATGACTGCCAGTCATGAAGTGGTTCCAGCCATTCGAGTAACAGAGATAAATCAGGTTTATCATCAATAGTGGGGCCAGGATTAAGCTCAACATCTCCTGACAACAGGATAAGGCCGAGGCACAAAAACACACAGAGAATGAAGCTCAACCTCACAGCTCCCAATAACAATTGCAACTGATTCGTAGCACTAGGGGAATGTAATGTAGCTCTAGGTAATTGTACTTGCTGAGGCTGAAAATGGCAAAAACCAACAAGACCTATCATGGAGTAATCAAAACATGGATCACCATATATGGCAAAAATTCAGTGTTGTTTACCTATTAAGAATCTTGATACAAATGCAAAGAGAGACAAGATGATTCCCTGATAACAAATAGAAAAAAACTTTAGCATCATTTCATCAACAGAAGTGGCCATGGTTTCCTTTGCCTTTAGCTTTGAAGCTTTTGGTGGGGCGGCCGTTTTTGATAAGGATGCCTGCCGCTTTCCAAAAGAAAGCTTATTGAATACGGCACCCGTACAGCAGTTCCACAGTCCAATTCTTGCTCTCCATTGGGTGATTTCAATCATCTCTCTGAAGACACTGCCGTGCCAAAGACTCGAGGCTAGGAAAGATTCGAGGAAAGATCGAGGGAAAGAAAGGGAAATTAAATTACTTGACCACACCTATTACATGATTATGCATACATGTAACAAAATCAACTATTATTGTACATCAAGACTAGAAATAATGTAATTATTACTATCATCACTGTCATCAGTAAAAGAATTATTCCTGATAATTTTCTGTTCCCAATGCTCCTCTATTACAGTGCGTAGTCCAAGATCAGCATCTCTGACCCTCTTAACATACCATCGAGCTATAATATAATACATACACTACTAACCCAACCACAGCAATGACAACAAATATGATGGTGAACCATGAAGTACAAGTTTTTAAAGGAAAGATATACTGAAATGTAAAAACTATCATTGAGCCAATATCAAAAGAAATACCATCAAAAAACAAGAACAGTCCAATGATCATGCCAAGCATACCAAAAGGAGCTTGACTGCACAGGAACTCAAATAAACACAAGTGAGCTAAAACTTGACATACCAGCTAATATGTAAGGTATGAGAAGTATCAAATACAAAACCTAAATTGTTGGATCACCTGGCCCCCATGTGATGCAAGGGACTTTAAAAGACTTTTGAGCACTGACATTTATGATAGAAAAACTTAAAATGGAAATTATAGTGACAAAAATATAAGCCAGACCAAGTCCTTTAAGGGATTTATTTTAAAATACTCTATTTTTGAAGCAAGAGGTATTATAACCAGTTCAAAGAGTGGGATCAAGTTAAAATCAATGGAGTAATGTAGCTTTTAAGCCGAATAACAACATCTTTATTTTCTTTTAAGCCTTCATAACCATTATTATATTGTGCCATAATGTGAGAGATCCATCCATTAAAGGCTCAATTACCATAAAGAAATTCAATATTGCTAACATTATAGCTAAAATGCAAAGAAATGTTTTTACACTTTCCATTTCTTTATGTGTAAAAGAATCACCATATTTCTTATTAGCAAGATCCATTCTATACTGGGCTCCTCTTGACCCAAGATCATGTATATGCATGGCTCAAACCAAATTTTGTCAAAAATGGCTAAATATAAATTTTACACTTATATATATAGTCTATATAATGTTCTGATGTTTTACATTTAGTTTAAGCTGATTCTGATCAAAATTGAATTTTTATGAATTTTAAAATTACTGCAAAAGCATGCACTATAGTGAGTGTGCTGTTAGCTCACTTAACAAGCTTTGTAGGAAACTCTGGAGATAATGTTATTACTTCTATGATAGCTAAACTGCTGTTTTTTAAAAACAAGCCATGTTTCTGTTTCAAGCAAAAACATATCAAAATAGTATTTCTTATTGAAATATTTTCAACAAGGCAATATTGTAATTCTAGTTGAGTCAATTATTACAAAAGGAGAGTAATTGTAATTGAGGTTTTGTAATGGACTTCAGGTTTGATGGTACATGCTGATGTATATGTTTAAATACAAGTTGCATTATGAGCAATTATCTACAAAAATTTATTTAATAGCTCACTTATAATATTGGTAAATAGCACAGGTCATTTTAGCATTTGATTTTTCTATCTCGCTGATTGTGATCAGTTTGATTTTGCTGTTGATTGGAGGAACACATTCTATATCTTGTGTATACTTTTCTAGAATTTTAGAAAAAGCTAAAACTTAAAATGACCAACAGCATCCAAAAACTGAATACTGTAATTGCATGGTGTGAAAAAAATTATGTTGTTTGTTTGTTCTGTATACATTTCCGATACTATTTTTTATTTATTGTGAAAATAGTCCATGCAATAAAATTTCTGTTTGCAATAATAATTATGCATATGCCAGTCTATTGCAAGCATTGAACACATGTCATAGCAACTATAAATTTTACAAAATGGGAAAAACAATTATAGAAAAGAAAGAACAAAATGAATGAAGAAACACAGTATAAGGGTAAAAAATAACAATTATTAATAGTAATGGTTGGTCAATTGCAAAATTTTCAATAAATCACTAGAGTCTATAAAGTTCTACAAAATATTTAGATCTAGCTATATTGGCTACATGTATAATAATAATAATAATAATAATAATAATAATAATAATAATAATAATAATAATAATAATGATGATAATAATAATGCTAGCAATGACAAAAAGGATATTAATAGATCTATACTCTATCATCACTTATCACAGGTTACTACTCATGTATCTTAAACAGAGCTTGTCCATCTCTAAACATGACGGTTGCAGCAATTTGACGCGTGTGCATTAAAGCAAATATATCAATAGTTGCATTAGCTTTTGTTTCTGGTGAAGTAAGCGACTTTATATCAGGATAAAAAATAAAATAAACTGGTGCCCGGTAAAGCTCTATTAAAAGGAAACTCTCAAAAAGCTCTTTCAATTCTTCAGTATGCATAGCAAATAATGATGTCAGTTTATAATCTTTACATCCTAAAACTAATTCCAAAGCTGTAAGAGGTGTATTAATTTCAAGGAATGATGGATAAGACGTTATATAACTATCATATATAATCATTGAAAGAGCTTTTAACGTATAATTTTCTTTTAATAACCGCTCCAATACTTTTGCAGGTATACAATAAGTTGGAGAAAAACCATTTCCGCCAATTTTAAACATAAAAGATTTTATATTTTTGCTTTTTGTCACTCCTTTAATTATACTTGAGGCAATTTGTGTACCACTGCTATGATAACAGACAAACTTCAGCTCTTCCAGGGTAAGTTTTGTTGCTATACTTTTCTCTATTGCAATACACTGCTCTGTTTCAAGGATATTACTAACTTCATCACAAGCTATGTGAAATATCTTTAATTCTGGAAGACCAAGGATTTGTAGTAATCCAAGCTCAAGAGCACATTTAGCATCTTTCAAATCATAGTAAAGCTCTTGAATATTTTGTAGAAAAGATGATAGTAAAAACTTGTGCAAAAATTCATCTGAAGGCTCAAGAAAAGCTATCTGCAGCCTGACACACTTTGTATGCTGTGAAATACTGGTTAACATGTCATCAAAAATAGATTGTTCTTGGTTAGATAACATATTCATGTGCAAGTGCTTCCATTCTATACTGGAGTTACTGATGAAATAATTAAAACACAACCAGTCGAACAGTGACAATGCTGCATCTTTATGACACAGTGACTTATCAATGATTGATTGAGCTAATGTATGACACAGCATCGCATTCTGTGATTCATAAAGAAGTTGAAAAAGAAGGACAGGAAAATCAATGTGACAATTTATATAATTAAATCTAAAGTCAAATATCTCTACGCCAGCATGACTGCTTTCAACCTCAGGATATTGATAAAATTGAGGTAAAATAGATGTCCAATGTTTAAGCATAGATGGTGTCTTACATTTTAGTTCTAGTTGCTTCTTAAAGTATTGTTCATAACTCTCATGCTCAAGGTTTGTTAGACCTGCTACAAATCTAAGACACATGCGAAAATGATCATCATCAAAGTAACTCCTAAATACTTCCTCTGTCTTTTTTTCATGCTTAGCTATCCACCATGCTGCCAGAAATTCCTGTATACTTAAGTGAAGGAACTGGTATTTCTTTTCATCAAATTTTATAAATGATGTTATCAATCCAAAATAGTCTTCCTTGCCAAGTGACCACTCCTTCAATTGATCTGAGGAAAAA